CTTCAATCTCGTCACATTTCTCTTCTTCTCTTGAACCTTCAGATTGGACAACTTGGAATTTGTAGAGTGATCAGCATCCGGATCTTGCATCTCTTCCTCCGTGTCCAGATCAGCTTCCTTTGCCAGGGCAGAAACCCAAGATTCTTCGTGGGAGAGCTTCTGAACTTTATGTTCCATGTTGTCGATTTGGCGCGAGAGGGCTATTCTGTCTTTGAGCATGGGCAAGAAGGAGTACTCGATGGGTAGCATGGAGAGATCTTCCGCTGCAAGATGAGTGTCGCAATGTAAAAGCCAACGGGCAGGTGAGCGGGACGCACTGCGGGTTTTCCACTTTTTGACCTTTGGCTACACTCACCTCTTCCGAGACCCCTGCACAGGTCTTTCCACAGTCGTTTCTCCTTCGGTTCGACCAGCACAATGCTGACGCCTTCCTTTCCTGCCCTTCCCGTCCTTCCGCTTCTGTGCACAAAGGCATCGACGCTTCTGGGAAGCTGATAGTGCACCACGTGATCCACATCAGGTACGTCGAGACCTCTAGCAGCCACATCCGTGGCGAGGAGCACCGAAGTGTTGGCCGACATGCCTGAAGAGCCAGAAGTACCCTTGAACCTGTCCAAAGCTTTCAATCTCTGCTTCTGCTGCAGTTGTGAGTGCAGAACTTGAGGATCGAGCCCTAGGTTGGCCAGCAGAGGCTTCAGCCTCCTTATTCCGTCGATCGAGTTCAAAAACACTATGCAACGTCCAGGATATCTGCACAGGAAGTAGTACAGGTATAGATCCTTTTCCGCTCCCAAGCACTCCACCTTGGCCTCTCGAATTTCTTTCGCTATTCTTCGAGAAGATGAGAGCTCGACAACGTGAGGGTCTTCATCCCTAAAATCGATTAGGTCCAACAAATCTTCCATTGTGCTCGAAGCTTCTTGCCTTCTCCTTGCTTTGCCCGCTTTACGTTTTCTGGATAGATTGCGTTGCAGCTCCTTAGAGAGAGTAGCGCTGAAGATGAAAGTCTGCATGTCTTCTCTGCTATCCGATCTTGCATCGCTCGCTTCGTCATGATCCACATTCGGACGCCTGACCAAGCCAAGAATGTGCTCCATCTCTCTAAAATGCCCCGCTTCTATCATCCTATCCGCCTCGTCCACAACCAAAAACTTTGTCTTTTTAATCCTCATTGTCAATTCATCGTCGTTGGAGCACATATCCCAAAGACGTCCAGGCGTAGCCACCACTATATCCGCGCCATTCTCTCCAACATTGAGCAGTCTCCGTTGTTTTTCTTCAGACATGCCTCCAGTGAGAGTAGCTAGAGAGGCAAAAGGCAGTGGCTTCTTCGTCGCGGACGCGGCTACACCACAAGCGCCTACGAGAGCTCTGATATGCGCAGAGACTTGAAGCGCAAGCTCTCGTGTGGGACACATGATGAGCGCAGCCAACCCTTTGACGTTCCCCTCTTCAATCGAGTCCGCCTCTTTGCCCTCTGCTTGCTTCCGAGCGCTTTCGTCTTCTCGCACCTTCAAGACCCATTGCAAGACGGGCAGAGCATATGCGAGCGTCTTGCCCGACCCCGTTTGCGCGATACCGATGACGTCTCGAAGCTGAGACTCTCCGAGCGAGATTTCTAGCGTTTCCTTCTGGATGGCGGTCGGAGATAAAAATTTGAGTGTATGCAGGCCCTTTGCGAGCTTGGGATGCAGGGACAAGGTCGACCACTGCGGAAGCACCGCTGCTGTTGGTGAGGATGGACCTATGGGAGAATGAGCTCGCGCTCGATGATGCAGCGCATACACGCCCGATGAAGATGACCAAATGAGGTTCACTCACCATCCACTTTTGTTTCTTCTGCGCTCACCCCTCCTTCATCATCCGCCTCGGCATCGACCGGAAGTAATCTGAAGTCCGCAATATATGCTGGCTCTTTTTCCTGCTCATCTACTCTCTCCATATCGCTCTCGTCAGCCTCGACATCCTTGCGCGTCGAGATTTTCTCTTTTTGTTTATTTGCCTGCTTCTTTTTCGTCTTCCTCACTTTTGCCCTGCCATTGGTCGCGTGTGCATCCCTCACCGCAGTCAGATCATCCGGATTGCCCTGATGCTCTTGGAGCGCATTAAGTGCTTGCTCGGCCGCGTCTGCATCGCCCTCTGGGCCCGCCTTACTTTTGCTTGTCCCTTTCTGGGTTTCGTGCGAAGCGAGTGAGGTGTGCCCCTTTGACTGA